ATATCTAATACGCATAATTTTTCAAAAGCTATACTGTATTTTTTTGGAGTTAAAAGTTGGAGGAAAAAATATGTATATATAGTTGTGTATATTATGCACATAATATAAGATATGAATTAAAATCAATATTACTCAAATCTAATGTATTAAAGTGTTTTTTTATTGTTATGAAGACAACTACTATCAAATGGATCATTGATCAATCTTTTAATAACCGACATGTCTCTATGAATATAAGATTCAAGAATATTTTAATTTTTAATTTTAAATGTGAAAAATCAACAGCATTTTTTTATTTGCTTTATTTTTATTCAATTTACTCTGTACAACTTATCTATACTTTATACGACGCTATCTATCTATACATTTCTGCAAGAATATTTCCATTGTCAAATCCAAAATTTGAAAATTTGTCTGGATACTATTATCTTTTTCATGATCCTTTATGCATATTATGCATACTTTTTTCGTGTACTTTTAAATTACCTTTTGTCGAATACTCTTTAAAACATATTTTGCACTCATGTACATCTCCGCCAGTGTGCAAGCGGTAGTGACATTTCAGATTGCCCTTCTGACTGAATTTTTTACCGCAGTTCTCCCATGTGCAGACGTATGGTTTTTCACCGGTATGAGACCTCATATGTGTTTTCAATTTGGACTTCGAATGAAATAACTTTTGACATTTTTTTACAGGACAAATTATGTAAAATTTATGTTTACTATTACTTGAATGTCTAATTTTACTGTTACACAAAGTGTCATTGCAATTAGAAGTGCAGTCACATTTCCTGATGCATTCAGCATCCGTTTTATCATCTTTCTTTACGGATGTGGAAGGTAAAACTGTCGAAGTTGTCATTGACATTGAGTCTGTTTCTAATACGTCAGAATTTAACTCTATTAAAGTCTGCGGCTGATTGTGAGTTGGTACAAGTTGTTTGATTGACGCAATTTCATGAGTTTTATAATTCTGCGATACATTGTTACTTGACACATCAGTATCATTGGCTATCATCGCAGGTGCTGGTGCTGCAACGGCTTCTTGGGTTTCATTACTAGTTATGGGTTGATGTTGACTGTTGAATGTGTTTGGAAAGATAAGCAAGTGTGGCTCGTGTGCAATGTTTTCCGAAATCTCGCTAGGATAGAGGGTGACATTAATATCGCTGATTGGTGGATATGAGATAAATTGGATAATAGGTATATAGTATGCTGTTTCATAAAGCATTTCGGTATTCTGCAATGTATAATGTCTGTATTCCATTTCTCTGTTAGTATTTTCCATTGGCATCTCGTGTATTAATTGAATTATATATATATATAATTATATATATCGTGTATATATTGAATTATTCTGTAATCATATGTTTGGCGGTGATTATTCTATAACTAAATGAATTTTTTTATTGGCAATATATGTACATAAATGCTCTTACAATTTACTTTAATTTAATGAATCATGCTTTTTAGAAAGCGGCTAATGGAATGTTAATATAATATCTAAAGCTCTGCAATTGTGTACTTTACATGTGTGTGACTTATATATATTACTATCTACTATTTTAATATTATTACACACTTTTCGACTTCCCGTAACTTTTATTTCCGCGAGAAAAAAAGCAAATTAAAAGTGGCTAAAAAATCTGTATGTGTGAATGTGAATCGCTCTGTACGTATTGTAGAAATATAAATACTGAAGTAATTACAACTTTTAAGTAGCATGAATAACTGTGCAAAGTAGCCTGTTTAGAATATCTGTTAAAAGTTATTTAATTAGAATTTTGTTCAAGATCGAATGTACAGATCGGGTATTTGCTGTCCAGTTGTAGTTGCCGAAATTTCGCGAATATTTGTGCGACGGTTTTGAAAAGAAAGCTAGAACTTAAATCGCGGAAATAACAGAAATTCAGTTATAACAAGCTGATTGATTAAATTATAGTTTGCAATTATAAGCATAGTGGAAAGCGCAATGTAGTTGGGACGCTTACACACACACATTTCTCACACACGCGAGAAACCACATATTACATTCAATACATATTCGATACGTACGTACGTTAAGTAGTATATTTTATTAGTCGTAAACTCCAATGAATTAAAACCAAAATTTGAGCCATGATTGAATCAAATCCACGCACGTTAAACTATAGAGAATATTAATTAAAAATTGGTGATTTCGTTTAAAACTACTTAAACTCTAAACAGCACTCATCGACTGCTACACAGCGTATCATATGTGTAACTGTGCGTTTGTCGACGACTAATGAACAAGGCCTTGATCGTAGGTCACATTTTGTTTATAAGTTTGTTGTAAAAGAAATCCAAGGAAACACGCTCGTTGTCGTATATTTGAGAGAAATAATGACATTTTTATATTTCTTTTAAACTTTCTTCAAACCGAAATTTAAAAAATTTATAGTAGAACGTATCACCATTTCTTTTCAACTATCATAAATTTTTGCATTAATTTTCTTGAATCGAGAAAATATAGATGAAATTTTTTATATATTTGTATAATAGATAGGCATATAACTGCGGTCTTGATGATGTTAGAATGATCTTTGAGCTAACCGATTTCTAGCAAAATAAATGTTTTTAAGTGAAAATTTGAAAATGTGCATTTACAACGCGTTTATTAAGATTTTCTCAAAAAGCGAAATCATGTACTTGTACGGCAATAAAACCTGTTTTACAATAGAGTGCCGAAAGACTGTTATAGTAGAAAAGAAATATGTTACGAATACTTTTCTTCCACATTCGCTTGCTTCTCTGTACTGTTGATGAACCACTTTTAATTTCTGACTGGCTGTAGCGCCGAGGAAATGTAACACGTTTGACGATTTGTAATTCAATGATCAGTCGCTAATCAGAATTTATCACACTTATAAAAATAACATAATACATAATTTAAATATACTACATTTGTAGATATGCAATTTTATTGTATATTATTTTATTGATTGATTAGGATTATTTCTTGGCTTTTTAGTTTTTACAAATGAATATGTATGTTATTATGTAATTATTAATTTTTTGTTATGATGTTTGTTATAATTATCACTTAAATGACATACGTACTTTTTGTTTTTTACATATTTACTATTCTGTTTTTTTCATCATTTTTTAGGATGACGAACATCTTAACGTTTTGCATTTTCGATGGCTCAGACGACATTTCTATTACTTAATACAAAATTCAAATATAGACCTGACCTGCTTGATAAATGCAATGTATCTCTGTTGGAAAGAGAGATTGTCTATAATATCGAGTGACAGAAAGATATCAAGAGAAACCCCGATATCTGTACATCGGGAGAACGTTTTTATATTATCTATGTATATGAATTTTTTGACAGTACAACCTTTTTTTCTCACTTTATAATATGAAAAACACTACTTATAAAACTATTAAAAATGGTTCTTTCTAAATCTGAAGCCTACAAATAGAAAAATAGAAGATGTCAATATCGAAATAAACGCACGCAGTTAAAAAAAATTTTTTAATTTAGATAATTTTATTTCAAAAATGTTATGTAATTTTTATATTCATAAATTATACATATATAGAATGTCCCCGAATTGATAGTAAAATTGAAAAGCCATTGATTCTATGCAAATACAAGGCGACAGTAAAGAATAAGATTTTATCCCATTATAAAAGTAGGGAAATCTAATACGCATAATTTTTCAAAAGCTATACTGTATTTTTTTGGAGTTAAAAGTTGGAGGAAATAATATGTGTATATAGTTGTGTATATTATGCACATAATATAAGATATGGATTAATATCAATATTACTCAAATTTAATGTATTAAAGTGTTTTTTTTTTTATTGTGAAGACAGCTACTATCAAATGGATCATTGATCAATCTTTTAATAACCGACATATCTCTATGAATATAACATTCGAGAATATTTTAATTTTTGATTTTTAAATGTGAAAAATTAACAGCATTTTTTTATTTGCTTTATTTTTATTTAGTTTACTCTGTACAACTTATCAATACTTTATACGATGCTTTCTATACATTTCTGCAAGAATAATTCCATTGTCAAATCCAGAATTTAAATATTTTTTTGGATGCTGTTTTTTTCTTTATTGCTATTTGTACATGTAATGCTTATGTTTTTTGTGTCTCTCCAAATTACTTTTTTTCGAATATTTTCTAAAACATATTTTGCACGTATGTACCTCACCGCCAGTGTGCACGCGTTTGTGACGGTTCAGATCGCTCGTTACACTGAATTTTTTACCGCAGTTCTCCCATGTGCAGACGTATGGTTTTTTACCTGTATGAGACCTCATATGTATTTCCAAGTGTGACTTCCAACGAAATGACTTTTGACATTTTTTTACAGAACACTCAAATTTATGTTTACTATTACTTGAATGTCTAATTTTAATGTTACACAAAGTGTTATTGCAATTAGAAGTGCAGTTACATTTCCTGATGCATTCAGTATCCGTTTTATCATTTTCGTTTACGGATGTAGAAGGTAAAAGTTTCGGAGCTGACATTGACATTGAGTCTCTTTCTGATACGTGAGAATTTAACGTCGTTAAAGTCTGCGTTAAAGTCTGCGGCCTGTTTGGTGCAAGTTGTTTGATTGACGCAGCTTCTTGATTCTTACGATTCTGCGATACTTTGTTACTTGACACATCGGCATCATTCGCTATCAGTGCTTCTACGGTTTCGTGGGATTTATTACTAGTAATCAATTGATGTTGATTGTTGAATGTGAGTGGAAAGATATGTGAGTTTGGTTCGTGAGGAATATTTTTTGGAATCTGGCTAGGGTAGATGACTGCATTAGAACTGCTGATTTTAGAGTTTGAAATAAGATGATCTGGTGTAAGTTGTGCTGTTCCTTGAGGCATTTCGGTATTCTGTTGCGTATAATGCCTGTGTTCCATTTCTTTGTTATTTCTCTTCATTATTATTTCCTGTATTAACTGTTGTATTATCTTTTTACTTATCTGCGACGTTAAATCAAGTACAGAAGATGGCAACATTGTTAATATAAATTGTCTATTTTGTTTTAGTAATCTGTAAATGAAAAAATAGAACATTAAATTTTTGGCATACTTTTTTATTTTTTATTTTAATACTTAAAAATGCCAAAGGGGGAACTCAACAAAACTATTTTTATTTTAGTTGTGCAAAAATCTCGCATATTTTTTTTTTTTATTATTACGTGGCTATAACACTGACATAGGGTTATAAATATTAAAAAATTATTATTTTTTATTTGTTCGCTAATGAAGCTGAAGAGGTAAGCAGCAAATGTCTACCTGTGTAATTGTGAAATCTGTTGGTAATGTTTGCACGTCTGTCCCTCCGGTCAATTGCAGTCCCGTCAACTGTTTTCGTGACTTATACAGCAGAATTTTTTTTTTTTTCAGTGTTGTTGCTGAGTGTTATTCTGTAATTATATGTTTGGCGGTGATTATTGTATATCTAAATGAATTTTTTCATTAGCAATATATGTATATAAATGTTTTTACAATTTACTTTAATTCAATGAATCATACTTTTTAGAAAGCGGCTAATGGAATGTTAATATAATATCTAAAGCTCTGCAATTGTGTATTTTACATTCGTGTTACTTATATATATTACTATCTTCTATTTTAATATTATTACACACATTTCGACTCCCCGTAACTTTTATATCCGCGAGAAAAAAAGGAAATTAAAAGTGGCTGAAAAATCTGTATGTGTGAATGTGAATCGCTCTGTACGTATTGTAGAAATATAAATACTGAAGTAATTACAACTTTTAAGTAGCATGAATAACTGTGCAAAGTAGCCTGCTTAGAATATCCGTTAAAAGTTATTTAATTAGAATTTTGTTCGAGATCGAATGTACAGATCGAGTATTCGCTGTCCAGTTGTAGTTGCCGAAATTTCGCGAATATTTGTGCGACGGTTTTGGAAAGAAAGCTAGAATTTAAATCGCGGAAATGACAGAAATTCAGTTATAACAAGTTGATTGATTAAATTATAGTTTGCAATTATAAGCATAGTGGAAAGCGCAATGTAGTTGGGACGCTTACACACACACATTCCTCACACACGCAAGAAACTATATATTACATTCAATACACATTCGATACGTACGTACGTTAAGTAGTATATTTTATTAGTCGTAAACTCCAATGAATTAAAACCAAAATTTGAGCCAAGATTGAATCAAATCCACGCACGTTAAACTATAGAGAATATTAATTAAAAATTGGTGATTTCGTTTAAAACTACTTAAACTCTAAACAGCACTCATCGACTGCTACACAGCGTATCATATGTGTAACTGTGCGTTTGTCGACGACTAATGAACAAGGCCTTGATCGTAGGTCACATTTTGTTTATAAGTTTGTTGTAAAAGAAATCTAAGGAAACACGCTCGTTGTCGTATATTTGAGAGAAATAATGACATTTTTATATTTCTTTTAAACTTTCTTCAAACCGAAATTTAAAAAATTTATAGTAGAACGTATCACCATTCCTTTTCAACTATCATAAATTTTTGCATTAATCTTCTTGAATCGAGAAAATATAGATGGAACTTTTTATATATTTGTATAATACATAGTCATATAACTGCGGTCTTGATGATGTCAGAATGATCTTTGAGCTAACCGATTTCTAGCAAAATAAATGTTTTTATGGTATGTGAAAATTTTAAAATGTGCTTTTACTGTGCGTTTTTTGGGGTTTTCTCAAGAAGCGAAATCATGTACTTGTACGGCAATAAGAATTGTTTTACTATAGAGTGCCGAAAAACTGTTATAGTAGAAAAGAAATACGTTACTAATACTTTTTTATCCGCCTGTTCCTCTGTCCTGTTGATGACCAACTTTTAATTTCTGATTGGCTGCAGCGCCGAGGAAATGTAACACGTTTGACGATTTGTAATTAAATGATCAGTCGCTAATCAGAATTTATCACACTTATAGAACTGACATAAAACATAATTTAGATATACTGCATTTGTAGATATGCAATTTTATTAGATATTATTTTATTGATTGATTAAGGTTACTTCCTGGCTTTTTAGTTTATACAAATTAATACGTATGTTATTACGTAATTGTTAATTTTTGGTTATGTTATTTTTCATAATCCGCGGATCACATAGATGATATACGTACATGTTGTTTGCTCACATACTATATCGGCATTCTCTCTCCATTGTCTGTTTTCTTCATTATTTTTTATAATGGCGAGCATCTCCACGCTTTGTTGCGACTGCATTTCTAATGTCTCAAACGACATTTTTTTTATCTAACACAAATATCAGATACTGACTTGATCTGCTCGATAAATGTAATGTATCTCTGCTGGAGAGAGAGAGAAAGATTGTCTATAATATCGAGCGACAGAAAGATATCAAGGGAAACCCCGATGTCTGTACATCGGGGAGAACGTTCTTATATAATTCATTAATGTGAGTTTTTACGATTGCATGCTTCTTTCTCGCTTCATAATATGAAAAGCTTTATTTATGGAATTATTGAAAATGGTCTCTTCAAAATTCTAGAGCGTACAAATGGAGGAATAGAAGTTGTCAATATCGAAATAAACACATGCATTGTAAGAAAAATTTTTTAATTTAAATAATATTTTTTTTGAAATATTACATAATTTTTATATAATAATAAAATATATATATATAGATGGTACCCGAATTGACTGTAAAACCGAAAAACCACTGATTCTATTTGCAAATACAAGACGAACGTAAAGAATAAGATTTTATCACCCATCACAAGTACAGAGATATCTAATACGTGCATAATTTTTCAGAAAATTTATTTTTAATTTATTTTTTTTTAAGATAAAAAATAAAGGATAAAATATGTATATATAATTGTGTATATTATACACGTAATATAAGATATGGATTAATATCAATATTACTCAAATTTAATGTAATAATGTGTTTTTTATCATTGCGAAGACAGCTACTATCAAATGGATTATTATTAAAATTTATAGTAGGAGTTATATCAGCATTTTTTTTCAATTATCTTACAAATTTCTGCATTAATCTTTTCGAATTGAGAAAATGTATATGAAATGTTTTTTGTATTGTACAAATCGCAAAGCATGTGATTGCAGTCTTGATGACGTTAGAATGATCTTTGGGCGAGTCTATTTCTAGCAAAATAAATCTAGTGCATACAAATAGATGAACAAAGGTCGTTATCAGTATCGTGATAAAAACGCGCATTGCAAAAAAATCTTTTAATTTATATATTATTTTTCCAAAAATGTTATACAGTTTTTATGTTTATAAAATATACATATATAGGATTTCTCCAAACCGATAGTAAAACCTAAAAGCCACTGATTTGCAAATAAACGGCGAAAGTAAAGAAATAAAGTTTTCTCATACCCATCACAAGTTCAGCGATATCTAATACGCATGCATAATTTTTCAGAACTTTTTATTTATTTTTTCAAAGTAAAAAGCAAGAGGAAGAAACTTCTAGGTATAATTATGTACATTATGTATATAATATATATATATAGATTAATATCACTCATATATAATGTTGATATATCAGTGTTGTTTTTTATCGTTGTGGAAACCAGCTTTTATTAAATCAATTATTTATTGGTAGTTTTTTAATAATCGATTGATGTATCTTTGAATATATGAGAATATTTGAATTTTTGGATTTTTTAATGTGAAAAATCAACAACATTTTTTTTTATTTGTTTTATTTTTATTCAATTTACTCTGTACAACTTATCTATACTTTATACGACGCCGTCTATTTATTCATTTCAGCAGGTATAATTCCATTGTCAAATCCAGAATTTGAATATTCTTCTGTATGCTGTTCTCTTCTTCATGGTCATTTGTGCATATTATGCATATCTTTTTCGTGTTTCTTCAAATTGCTTTTTGACGAATACTTTTTACAACATATTTTGCACGTATGTGCCTCACCACCAGTGTGCACGAGATTGTGACGGTTCAGATCGCTCCATCGACTAAATTTTTTACCGCAGTTCTCCCATGTGCAGACATACGGTTTTTCACCGGTATGAGACCTCATATGTCTTTCCAACTCTGAACGAAAATTAAAAAACTTTTTGCATTCTTTTACAGAACACTCAAATTTCTGTTCACTATGACTTGAATGTTTAATTTTACTGTTACACAAAGTGTCATTGCAATTAGAAGTGCAGTCACATTTCCTGATGCATTCAGCATCCGTTTTATCATCTTTGTTTACGGGTGTGGAAGGTAAAACTGTCGAAGATGTCATTGACATTGAGTCCGTTTCTGATACGTCATAGTTTAACTCCATTAAAGTCTGCGGCTGATTGTGAGTTGGTACAAGTTGTTTGATTGACGCAATTTCATGAGTTTTATGATTTTGCGATACATTGTTACTTGACACATCAGTTTCATTCGCTATCGTCGCAGGTGCTAGCGCTGCTACGGCTTCATAGTTTTCATTACTAGTAATGGGTGGATGTTGACTGTAGAATGTGTTTGGAAAGATAAGAGAGTGTGGCTCGTGTGCAATGTTTTCCAAAATCTCGCTAGGATTGGTGACGGCATTAATATTGCTCATCTGAAAATTTAAGATATCTTGGTTTTGAGTATGTTGTGCTGTTTCATGAGGCATTTCGGCATTCTGCAACATATAATGTCTGCGTTCCGCTTCTCTATTATTATAATCCATTATTATTTGGCCTATTAATACAGTTATATTTTCATCTGCGTTGTCATATTTATGTTCTGAAGATGATGACATCGTTAATATCGATTTTCTATTTTGCTTTAATAATCTGAAAATGAAAGAATTGTATATATAATCTTTGACATACTATTTTAATTTTAATTTAATTGTTTAAATATGTCATTGAAAAAATCTAACAAAACTATTTTTATTTTAGTTGTGCAAGAATGTAGCATACTTTATTTTTTTATTTCGTGGCTTTAACAGACATTGTGTTACAAATATTAATAAATTATTATTTTTTATTTGTTTGATAATAGAACTTAAAAAGCATTCAGCAAATTCTACCTGTGTAATTGTGAAATCTGTTGGTAATGTTTGCCTCTTCGGTTAATCGTAGTTTTGTCAACTGTTTTCGTGACTTGTACAGCAGAATTTTTTTTTTCAGTGTTGTTACCGAGTGTTATTCTGTAATTATATGTTTGGCGGTGATTATTGTATAGCTAAATGAATTTTTTCATTAGCAATATATGTATATAAATGTTTTTACAATTTACTTTAATTCAATGAATCATGCTTTTTAGAAAGCAGCTAATGGAATGTTAATATAATATCTAAAGCTCTACAATTGTGTACTTTACATGTGTGTGACTTATATATATTACTATCTACTATATTAATATTATTACATATTTTTTGACTTTCCGTAACTTTTATTTTCGCGAGAAAAAAAGCAATTTAAAAGTGATTAAAAAATCTATATGTATCAATGTGATTCGCTCTGTACGTATCGTAGAAATATAAATACTCAAGTAATTACAACTTTTAAGTAGCATGAATAAATGTGCAAAGTAGCCTATTTAGAATAAATGTTAAAAGTTATTTAATATGAATTGCATTCGAGATTGAATGTACAGATCGAGTATATGCTGTCCAGTTGTAGTCGCCGAAATTTCGCGAATATCTGTGCGACAGTTTTGAAAAGAAAGCTAGAATCTGAATCGCTGAAATGACAGAAATTCAACTATAATCAGATGATTAATTAATTTATAGTTTGCAATTATAGGCATAGTAAAAAACGCGATGTAGTTGGAACGCTTACACATTCCTCACACACGCGAGAAGCTATATATTACATTCAATATACATTTGATACGTACGTAAGTTTAGTAGTATATTTTATTAGTTGTAATCTCCAATGAATTAAAACCAAATTTTGAGCCAAGCTTGAATCAAATCCACGCACGTTAAACTATAGAGAATATTAATTAAAAATTGGAGATTTCGTGTAAAACTACCTGAACTCTAAACAGCACTCATCGACTGCTACACAGCGTATCATGTCTAACTGTGCGTTTGCCGACGACTAATGAACAAGGCCTTGATCGTAGGTCACATTTTGTTTATAAGAGTTTGTTGTAAAAGAAATCCAACGGGACACGCTCGTTGTGGTATATTTGAGAGAAACGATAACATTTTTATATTTCTTTTAAATCTATTTCAAACTAAAATTTAATAAATTTATAGTAGAACGTTTATAGTATCACCATTTTTTTTAACTGTTACAAATTCCTGCATTAATCTTCTCGGATCGAGAAAATGTATATGAAATGTTTTTCCTATTGTCTACAAATTGCAAAACATGTGATTGCGGTCTTGATGATGTTAGAATGATCTTTGAGCTAACCGATTTCTGGCAAAATAAATGTTTTTAAATAAAAATTTTAATATGTGCATTTACAGTGCGTTTATTGGGGTTTTCTCAAGAAGTGAAATAATGTACTTGTACGGCAATAAGACCTGTTTTACAATAGAGTGCCGAAAGACTGTTATAGTAGAAAACAAATAAGTTACGAATACTTTTCTCTCACATCCGCTTGCTCCTCTGTCCTGTTGATGAACCACTTTTAATTTCTGACTGGTTGCAACGCCGACGAAATGTAACACGTTTGACGATTTGTAAATAAATGATCAGTCCTTAACCAGAACTTATCAAATTGATCTAAATGACATAATACATAATTTAGATCTAACACATTTGTATAGATATGCAATTTTATTAGATATTATTTTATTGATTGATTAAGGTTATTTTTTGGCTTTTTAGTATTTACAAATTAATACGTATGTTATTACGTAATTGTTAATTTTTTGTTATGATATTCGTCATAATTCGCGGATCACATAGATGACATACGTACATTTTGTTTTCTCACATACTGTATCGGCATTCTCTCGCCATTGTCTGTTTTCTTCATTATTTTTTAGAATGGCGAGCTTTTCCACGTTTTGTTGCGATTGCATTTTCAATGTCTCGAACGACATTTTTCTTATTTAATGCAAATATCAGATACTGACGTGACCTGCTTGATAAATGTATTGTATCTCTGCTGGAAAGGGAGATCATTTATAATATCGAGTGATAAAAAGATATCAAGGGAAATCCCGATCTATACATCGTAGGAATGTTTTTATATAATTTATTTATATGAGTTTTTACGGTGTTTTTTTTTTCTTTCTCGCTTGATAGTATGACGAACACTATTTCTAAAACTATTGAAAATGGTTACTTTAAAATTCAAGAGTGTTTAAATGGAAGAATAGGAGTTGTCAATATCGAAATAAACACAGGCACTGTAAGAAAAAAAATTTTAATTTATATATTTTTTTAAAAATGTTTTAATTTTTGTATTCATAAAATATACATATATAGAATGTCTCCAAACTGATAATAAAACCGAAAAGCCACTTTTTTGCAACTACAATGCGAAAAATGCAATAAAAAATAAAATTTTCTCATTCTTATCCCAAGTTTGGGGATATCCAATACGTGTGAATAATTTTTCAGAACCTTTAATTTATTTTTTTTAAAGTAAAAAGTAAGAGGAAGAAACTTCTAGGTATATATATGTACATTATGTACATATATAATATAAATATGGATTAATATTACTTATATATACTTTTGATATATCAGTGTGTTTTTTATCGTTGTGGAAACCAGCTTCTATTAAATCAATTATATATTGGTAGTCTTTTCATAATCGATCGATCTATCTTTGAATATCTGAGAATATTTGAATTTTTGGATTTTTAAATGTGAAAAATCAACGACACTTTTTTTATTTGTTTTATTTTTATTCAGTTTAATCTATCCAAACTTTATACGACGCTGTCTATTTATTCATTTCAGCAGGTATAATTCCATTGTCAAATCCAGAATTTTTATATTCTTCTGAATGCTGTTCTCTTCTTCATGGTCATTTGTGCATATTATGCATACCTTTTTCGTGTGCTTTTAAATTACTTTTTGATGAATACTCTTGAAAACATATTTTGCACGTATGTACCTCACCGCCAGTGTGCACGAGATTGTGACGGTTTAGATCGCTCTTTCGACTGAATTTTTTACCGCAGTTCTCCCATATGCAGACGTATGGTTTTTCACCGGTATGAGACCTTATATGTATTTTCAAGTGTGACTTCCAACGAAATAACTTTTGACATTTTTTTACAGGACACTCAAATTTATGTTTACTATTACTTGAATGTCTAATTTTAATGTTACACAAAGTGTCATTGCAATTAGAAGTGCAGTCACATTTCCTGATGCATTCAGTATCCGTTTTATCATTTTTGTTTACGGATGTAGAAGGTAAAACTTTCGGAGCTGACATTGACATTGAGTCTTTTTCTGATACGTGAGAATTTAACGTCGTTAAAGTCTGCGGCTGGTTTGGTGCAAGTTGTTTGATTGATGCAGCTTCATGACTTTTATGATTCTGCGATGCTATGTTACTTGATACATGGGCATCATTCGCTATCAGTGCTGCTACGGCTTCGTGTGATTTATTACTAGTAATCGGTTGATGTTGATTGTTGAATGTAGGTGGAAAGATATGTGAATGTGGTTCGTGTGGAATGTTTTTTGGAATCTGGCTAGGGTAGATGACTGTATTAAAACTGCTGGTTTTAGAGTTTGAAATAAGATGATCTGGTGTAAGTTGTGCTGTTCCTTGAGGCATTTCGGTATTCTGTTGCGTATAATGCCTGTGTTCCATTTCTTTGTTATTTCTCTTTATTATTATTTCCTGTATTAACTGTTGTATTATTTTTTTACTTATCTGCGACGTTAAATCAAGTACAGAAGATGGCAACATTGTTAATATCAATTTTCTATTTTGTTTTAATAATCTGTAAATGAAAGAATTGGACATTTAATCTTTGGAATACTATTTTAATTTTAATTTTAATACTTAAAAATGCCAAAGGAGGAACTTATATATAACAAATCTATTTTTATTTTAGTTGTGCAAAAATTTAGCATATTTCCTGCTTTCATTACGTGGCTATAGCAGTGATTTTGGGTTCTAAATATTAAGAAATTATTATTTTTCAATTGTTTGTTAATGAAGCTGAAGAGGTAAGCAGCAAATGTCTACCTGTGTAATTGTGAAATCTGTTGGTAATGTTTGCACTTGTGTCCCTCCGGTAAATCGCAGTCCCGTCAACTGTTTTCGTGACTTATACACCAGAATTTCTTTTCTACAGTTTTGTTGCCGAGTGTTATTCTGTAATCATTTATTTGGCTGTAATTATTCTAAAGATAAGAAAAATGAATTTTTTCATGAGCAATACATGTACATAAATGCCTTTAAAACATAATACTATAAAACAATGAACCATGCTTTTTAGAAGGCGGCTAATGGAACGTTTTTAAAATATTTAAAGCTCTAAAATTGTGTACTGTACATGTGTGTGACTTATATATATTATTATCTACTACATTAATATTATTACATACTTTTCGACTTCCCGTAACTTTTATTTCGGCGAAAAAAAAGCAAATAAAAAGTGACTAAAAAATTTGTATGTATCAATGTGATTCGCTCTGTACGTATCGTAGAAATATAAATACTCAAGTAATTACAACTTTTAAGCATAAATATTAGCATAAATAACTGTACAAAGTAGCTTATTTAGAATAACTGTCAAATGTTATTTAATTAGAATTTCGTTCGAGATCGAATGTACAGATTGAGTATATGCTGTTCAGTTATAGTCGCCGAAATTTCGCGAATATCTGTGCAACAGTTTTGAAAAGAACGCTAGAATCTTAATCGTGATAACGACAGAAATTCAGCTATAATCAGCTGATTGATTAAATAATAGTTTGCAGTCATAAGTTTAGCGGGAAGCGCAACGCACTGGGAACGCATATCGAGCATAAATACACGGCGAAATTCTTCGTTATACGGCTTATAAACATGTCTCACATATGCGAGAAATTACATATTACATTAAATAAATATTGGATACATACGTAAAGATTTTAGTTGTACATTTCATAAGTCGTCAACTCCAATAAATTGGAACCAAAATGTGAACCAAAATTGAATCAATTCTACGCACGTCAAACTATAGAAGATATTAATTAAAAGTTGGAGACTTTGTGCAAGACTTGTACTTTAACTCTAAACACCACTCATCGACCGCTACACGCCGTATCATATGTCCAACTGTGCGTTTGTAGACGACTAATGATCAAGGCCTTGATTGTAGGTCACATTTTGTTTATAAGAGTTTGTTGTAAAAGAAATTCAAGGAAACACGCTTGTTGTCATATATTTGAGTGAAATAACTGCATTTATAACTTTTTAAAATTTTCTTGAATCCCAAATTTAAAAAATTTATAGTAGAACGTATCACGATTTTTTTTCAATTATCACAAATTTCTGCATAAATCTTTTCGGATTGAGAAAATGTATATAAAATGTTTTTTGTATTGTACAAATCGCAAACCATGTAATTGCAGTCTTGATGACGTTAGAATGTTCTTTGAGCGAACCAATTTTTAGCAAAATAAACATTTTTAAGATACATATATAGAAATCGTAGAATGCGCATTTATAGCGCATTTATTAGCGGTTTCTCAAAAAACGAAACCTTTCATTTATACGCCGTTAAGACCTGTTTTACAATATAGTGCCGAAAGACTGTTTTGGTAGAAAGAAATATGTTACGAATACTGTCTACTCGCATTCCGCTGCTTCTCCTGTTGAAAAACTACTTTTAATTTTTGACCAACTACTGTACTGGGAAAGTTGAAACGTTTGACGATTTGTAATTAAATGATCAGTCGTTAATTAGAATTTATCACACTTATAGAAATGACATAATACATAATTTAGATATACTACATTTGTAGATATGCAATTTTATTAGATATTATTTTATTGATTGATTAGGGTTACTTCTTGGCTTTTTAGTTTTTACAAATTAATATGTATGTTATTATGTAATTATTAATTTTTTGTTATGATGTTTGTTATAATTATCACTTAAATGACATACGTACTTTTTGTTTTTTACATATTTACTATTCTGTTTTTTTCATCATTTTTTAGGATGACAAACATTTCAACGTTTTGCATTTTTGATGGCTCAGACGACATTTCTATTACTTAATACAAATTTCAAATACAGACCTGACCTGCCTGATAAATGCAATGTATTTCTGCTGGAAAGAGAGATTGTTTATAATATCGAGTGACAGAAAGATATCAAGAGAAACCCCGATATCTGTACGTCGGGAGAACGTTTTTATATGATCTATGTATATGAATTTTTTGACAGTACAAACTTTCTTTCTCACTTCATAATATGAAAAACACTACTTATGAAACTATTAAAAATGGTTCTTTCAAAATCTGAAGCTTACAAATAGAAGAATAGAAGATGTCAATATCGAAATAAACCCACGCAATTAAAAAAAATTTTTGAATTTACATAATATTATTTCAAAAATATTATGTAATTTTTATATTCATAAAATATACATATATAGAATGTCCCGAATTGATAGTAAAATTGAAAAGCCACTGATTCTATATGCAAATACAAGACGACAGTAAAGAATAAGATTTTATCATACCCGTCATAAGTTCAGGGATATCTAATACGCATAATTTTTCAAAAGCTATACTGTATTTTTTTGGAGTTAAAAGTTGGAGGAAAAAATATGTATACATAGTTGTGTATATTATGCACATAATATAAGATATGGATTAATATCAATATTAGTCAAATCTAATGTATTAAAGTGTTTTTTTATTATTGTGAAGACAACTACTATCAAATGGATCATTGATCAATCTTTTAATAACCGACATATCTCTATGAATATAACATTCGAGAATATTTTATATTTTGAATTTTAAATGTAAAAAATTAACAGCATTTTTTTATTTGCTTTATTTTTATTTAGTTTTCTTTGTACAACTTATCTATACTTTATACGACGCTATCTATTTATACATTTCTGCAAGAATATTTCCATTGTCAAATTCAAAATTTGAAAATTTGTTTGGTTGCTATTATCTTTTTCATGATCCTTTGTGCATATCATGCATACGTTTTTCGTGTTTTTCCAAATTACTTTTTGACGAATATTTTTAAAACATATTTTGCACGCATGTACCTCACCGCCAGTGTGCACGCGGTGGTGAACATTCAAATAGCTGATCTGACTGAATCTTCGACCGCAGTTCTCCCATGTGCAAGAGTATGGTTTTTCACCGGTATGAGATCTCATATGTATTTCCAAGTGTGATTTCCAACGATATGACTTTTGACACTTTTTTACAAGACACTCAAATTTATGTTTACTATTACTTGAAAATCTAATTTTACTGTTGCACAAAGTGTCATTGCAATTAGAAGTGCAGTCACATTTCCTGATGCATTCAGTATTCGTTTTATCATCTTTTTTTACGGATGTAGAAGGTAAAACTATCGAAGGTGTCATTGATATTGAGTCTGTTTCTGATACGTCAGAGTTTAACTCCATTAAAGTCTGCGGTTGATTGTGAGTTGGTACAAGTTGTTTGATTGGCGCAACGTTATGATTTTTGTAATTCTGCGATACATTGTTACTTGACACATCAGTTTTATTCGCCATTATCGCAGGTGTTGGTGCTACTACGGCTTCATAGTTTTCATTACTAGTAATGGGTGGATGTTGGCTGTTGAATATGTTTGGAAAGATAAGTGAGTGTGGCTCGTGTGCAATGTTTTCTGAAATCTCGCTAGGATAGGCATTAATATTGCTCATTTGAAAATTTAAGATATTTTGGTTTTGAGTATGGTGTCCTGTTTCATTATTATAATCCATTATCATCTGGTCTAATAATTCAATTATATTTTTATCTTCGTTGTCAAGTTCATGTTCTGAAGATGATGACATCGTTAATATCGTTTTTCTATTTTGCTTTAATAATCTGAAAATGAAAGAATTGTATTGTAAATTATATTTAATCTTTGACATACTATTTTTATTTTTATTTTAACGTTTAAATATGTCATAGGAAAAGCCTAACAAAACTATTTTTATTTTAGTTGTGCAAGAATCTAGCATACTTTATTTTATTATTCCGTTGCTCTAGCACAGACATTGTGTTTTAAATATTAAGAAATTATTATTTTTTATTTGTTTGATAATGAAGCTGAAGAGATATGTAACAGATGTCTACTTGTATAATTGTGAAATCTGTTGGTAATGTCTGCTCTGTTTGTCAATCGCAGTCCCGTCAATTGTATTCACTACTTATACATCAGAATTTCTTATCTACAGTTTTATTGCCAAATGTTATTCTGTAATAATATATTTGGTTATAATTATTTTAAAGATATTTGAATTTTTTATTAGCAATATATGTTTATAAATGCTTTTACAATTTACTATAAATCATGCTTTCAACAAACGGCTATTAAGATCTTAATATAATATATAAAACTTTGAAATTGTATTTTTTACATATGTATGACTTATTTAGATTACCATTGATCATATGAATATCATTACATACTTTTCGATTTCAGGTGACTTTTATTTTTTCTAGAAAAAAGTGCAAATCGAAAACAAGGCTAAAGAATCCTTATTTAGCAATGTGAATTACTTTCTACATGTCGTAGAAGTACTAATGTTCAAAGAACTGAAAATTGATGTGGAGTTAATAAATTTGCAGAATAGCATTATTTAATTAAAATTTTATTCGAGATGACGAATGTACACATCGTGTATATTCCGACCGTTTGTAGTCGCCGAAATTTTGCGAAGAACTGTACATCAGATTCGAGAAAAACGCGAAAGATTGCAACGCGGAAATGACAGATCTAGCTGTAATCAGTTGCATTATCGCTTGCAAATATATGCTTAGCGGAAAGGGCGACACACTAGACATATCGAGCATAAATACGCAGCGAAATTCTTTGTCATACGCCTTAATATACATGCTTCACACACGTGAGAAACCATATATTACATTAGATACATATTACATACATACGTAAAGGTTCTAGTAGCACATTTGATAAGTCGTAAACTCCAATGAATTGGAACCAAAAAATGAACCAAATCCACGCAATTTTAACTGTACAGAATATTAATTAGAAGTTAGACTTTGTGCAAAACTACCTGAACTCTAGACACCACTCACGGACCGCTACACAACGTCTAACTGTGCATTTTCAAACAACAAATGAATAAAACCGTGATCGAGGGTCATATTTTGTTTGTTAGATACTGGGAACACGCTTGTTGTCGTATATTTCAAGAGAATGATAGCATTTGTATATTTTATATTTTTCTTATTTTCTTCAAATTAAAGTTAAAAAAATTTAAAGCAGAATTACCATTTTTTTCTCACCATCTTTTTCAGCTATCACAAATTGTTATATTAACACCAAATCTTCTGGAGTCGAGGAAATATAGATGAAATTTTTTACATCTAACAAATCGTAAATCGTAAATTGTAAAATATGACGGCGGTCTTGATGACATTAAAATGAGCTTTGAGCGAATCGATTTCTGGCAAACCATAAACGTTTTCAAGATACATATATAGAAATCTTGGAATGCGCGTTTGTCGTTAGTAACGGTTTCCCAAAAAGCGAAACCTTGTATTTATTCGCCGCTAAAACCTGTTTTACAAAAGAGTGCCGAAAGACTGTTATGATAGAAAAGAAATATGTTACGGATATTTTCCGTCTGCTTCTCTGTCCTGCAGAGAAACCACTTTTAATTTCTGACAGACTTCTGCGCCAGTGAAATGTGAAACGTTTGGAAATGTGAACGGTTTGTAATTAAATGATCAGTCGCTAATCCGAATATACAAAATTTGAAATAACATAATACATAATCTAGATCTAACACATTTATATTTTTGTTAGAGAATCTGGAGATCATATAGATGACTTATATACATTTTGTTTTTTCACACACTATGGCATTTTCTCGCTATTGGCTGCTTTCTGCATCATTTTTTAGAGCATCTCCGCGCTTTATGGTGACTGCATTTTCAATGTCTCAGACGACATTTCCTTTATCTAATACAAATCTCAGGCAAACTTGATCTACTTTGAGAATGCAATGTATCTCTACTGGAAAGAGAAAAACGGAGAAGAAAATTTCCATGAAAAGAAGCGAATATGTAGTAAAATATAAATATTTTTCAAAATTAATAATAATACTAAGGCTCCAATAAATTAACAAATAATCTGGAAGAAAAGGGCAAAAAGAGCCGTTGCTAGGTGTTTGTGCCACAAAATTCAACATTTCAACCATCCGACACAGTTTAAATATTTATTTAGTTTTAATTACGGACTCTTCGGTTTTTTTAAATAATTCTTCCATGAACTTTGAAGGCATTTTGATAGATAATGCTGTTCTCTGACTCTTCCATGTTCTTTATTGGAGATATAGATCCGGCTTCTAATAACAATGCCAATTACCAATCTTTCTATAATGGAAATTATTTATCATGAGGAATACTCTGCGTAGTTTGTCTTATTTGTTTACTAAACGCTTCGACACTTGTAATACCGTTTTATTACTGAGGAAGGCCTAACATAGGCAGAAACGTTTGTAATTTTTGTAATTTTTATAATATAATTTGATTTTTTTGTGGCACGAACGCGTAGCAACGGCTCTTTTTGCCTTTTTCTCCGAGATTATTTAATAAATTTTTTTTTTAACAATAGAAACTAAACGTGGGATCTTCTGTAACGCATATTTTATGTTCGATAAGATGTTAAAACGTTAAATGTTAAAATGTTAAAACTATTTTTAATATCTTAACAGATTAGTCATTTACGACAACAAATATTTAAAATTGCATTGTAATGTTATATTTTTATTCTAATTCGTCTTGGTATCTATCAAAACTATGTAATAGAATTTTGCGATTACATTGTCGCGAGAATGTTTAACATTATAGATCGTTTTGATCCGTCTGTGTATTAAGAAATGTGGAATAAATTCATTAATCATTTACCGAACGAGAAAGATCATCGCGCGGAGAGAAAAGACGGCTGGACGGTCACTATCCATTCGTCACGCATCGTTTACGGACAAAAGCGGCGCGCTGATCGGAGGCGCGCTAATAATCGACAAGACTCATCGGAAAAATTCAATCTCTGCTTTTTTTTATGCTATTACAACAAACGAAAATTTATATGAGTAAAGGCGCATTTAACGGTTCCAACAAACGTCAATGCAACTTTTGAAATTTCTGCCAATTATTCTCGATCAAAGCCAATCTAGATCAAAGGCGCAACGCCGACGTGGACTACCTGCCGCGGCGAGCAGGTGTCAGTTCTAGAGATCTATAAATTTGTATACTTCGCAGGCGAATTGTGTCCGAAGGGGTGCCCCAGCGCGACGCGGCACGGCAATTTTATTCGACATAGAGGAACGACACCCTCATCACAATACGACCTGTTACCGTCGGAAAAAAAAAAAGAGAGACGACCGTGTCAGAATCACTTCTTTAAGCTTCTTGCTCCAGCCGTGAGAAGACTCAAACTTCAGAAAGCTAGCCGCTGGCATTGTGACGTGGCTTCATTACGCAACCTAACTTTTGTATAGGAATGAAAAGAAATGCTTGCGCCCTATCGCCCTAACATGGTCAATAATCAGCTGTTAGATCTGTGGCCGACCGGTTCTACAGTAACATTGCCAGCATTAGTGGAAACGAACGATTATATTAGATCAGTTCAAAGATATTCGATTATGTTTCTTATACAAGAAATATTTTCAAAGATAAAATCATGACTGTCTGTTATTAATTAAATTTGTAAATAAAAGTAGATAAAATTTGTATTAAAATTTGTATTAAATTTTTATTTGCAGACAAAAGTAAATATACTTTTAATTTGCTAATATTATTTTTCGGAAAACTTAAGAAAAGATTTTATCAAAATCAAGAAATGTCCATGCAGATTTACGCATCATATAAATAGATGTAAACGGTATTTAAAAGTCACATGTTTAAAGGTTTAATCCCATTCTCTCTTTCTCGCCCGTTGTTCATATGTTCTTTTTTTTTCTTCCATTTCTTTTTTATTTAACTTATTGTTAGACAAGTCGCATTATAATTTTTAAATTATTAAAATTTATATAAAAATGCCTACAAATTTAATAAAAACACGATATGCGAAAATTACATTTTTGTGTAGGCTCATTGATAGATATTCAAGGAAGGAGAGAAAAAGCCTTATCCTTTATATCTGTAGAACTAGTGCTGCTTCATTGTAGGCTCATTGATAGATATTCAAGGAAGGAGAGAAAAAGCCTTATCCTTTATATCTGTAGAACTAGTGCTGCAATCTTACGAGACTTTTGAGCGTTAAGCGTTCGTCAAAAAGTCGGTAACATTATCATTATTTTCCAACAGATTTACTTCTAAATCATTTTTAAAAAATTATAATTAATCTTCTCTAATTACATTTTTGTATACATTTAATTAATTATACACTAAACATATGTGTATTATACCTTGTAAATGTATGTAATACCTTGTTGAAATAGTGAATATAACTATCGCAATTTGTTAGAGAATTAAATGAAATGCTGTATGGAGGAATGCAATTAGTAATTAATTTAGGATAGGGAAATAAAAATGCCGTAAAATTATCTTGGAAAATATGACTATAACACATAATTTCATATTACTGAATTATATATAGTATATTTTCTAATCATAGTAATACTGTTCCATTAATAATTGTTACATTAATTACAATGCAATTGAAACTAAACACATTGCCGATGATTATCAATCAGAGATTAATTAAAACCAAAAAGCTCTGAGAATCGCCAGGCGCGTATCTTCGCATTGACATTCAAATTGGAAAAGGCAATGAACACAATTTTGTAACATTGCGGCATATACTCACATACATTATAACACATTCGCTGGAGTCTATAGGACAATAAAACTGCGTAACTTCGTAGCTAACTAGCTACAGAAAATTGTCTATATTGCATACGTACCAGCACCAAAAACGTTAGCAAACTACAATCCCACTTTTGATGAAATTTACAGTTTGCAGAAATTTACTCGGGAAATGTCAGTTTGCACGTTGATCTATCTTTACTTAACATTTGTACTTACACTTATCATGAAACTGCGATAATTTCAATATGGCATTTCTCAAAAATAAGTCTTTGTGTGACTCGTCTACTTGCATTTTCGGTGCTTCGTATCGCATGATATATTTCGCATATATATATTGTCTTGATATATTAAACATAGAAATAATTAAGAACAAGAGTCACCTCTTTGTATTCGAAAATTTGGTCTCTGAAAAAATACTGCGCTCTGTGATATGGAACTCTAATAGGAAGGGTTTGCCTTTTAATCGATAGCTTTCTCATATGACGCGGCACACAAGTTATGCCAATGCAAATGCCCCCGATAGACGCGTTTAAGCTTATAGAAGGAGCACGTTAATTTTATTTTTATTTTCGCTTCATTTATTTCTACATAAAGTTTTACCGCTTCTCTCTCTTTCAAGCTAACGCAGTACACATAATTGTACGCTTTACGTATTTGTACGTGGTTGGGTGGTATGGGAAGGAACGTGGTAAATTGTTTGTTCGTGTTCGGGTAATGTGTATTGTGGAATAAATTCACAGTTTCTTTTTTTACGATAACGCGGATGACTCGCTATCGTAAAACATAAAATATTGGCGTAGGAAAAATGTCTATACGAGGGTAAATGCAGTCAAGTAAAGGTAGTACGAAACATTTATCTCAAGTTTTGTACACTGAGACTTGTAATTGACTAGCTCTACAAATGGAAAACATTGATTTTCGGGTATTCGAGGCCTGAGACTAGATATCAAGAGATCCTTTCTTGAAGAAGCGACACCACCTTTGAGCAACCATTTGCGTATTCGCCGGGCTTGTTAATCATCGACGACTGCAATTGTAAAACTTGCGATATAAGTCACCTCCATTTTTCGCCAGCTGAAACAAGTTTGTAATAAATTTTCATTCAGTTGTAAGTGTTACAACTTGAAGTAACTCTAATATTGCACTTGCCCGCGTTATACAATTGCAGCTAAATTATTTGTTTGTTAATCGTATATATTGCTTGTTGCGAGAATGATATAATCTAATGAAATAACGCGTGTAACATTTAAGAGAATATCAAATGTTATATCGAAAGGATAATGATAAAAGCATCTCTCAATATCTAGCCCGTGAAAAGCCACGTCGACCTTAGCTACTTATGGATGGATTACATGCGTTGGGCCTTTGCGGGCATAAAAATTCTACACGAACAAGAGAGCTCCCATCGTACTTGGCCATTGTCTGCTCTACTTACATTACGCTTACTTAAACTAACTTACTACGATACAATCACGGTAAAGACTTTCGATTTCATCGATTCGCGAGTCTGCAGCGAGACTGGTGACGTTAACACATTGACTATAGTCTCTTGGAACACAATTGTCTTTTTTTTTTCTTTCCTTTCAACATTTTAGTGGCTCCCAAATTCTTACACCTTATAAAACGATATTCTTTTAGGGATTGCGCTTTGTTACATTAATATTATATACATACAATGTAGTGCATAATAAGATTTTAATGGGTTAATTTACAATTGCAGAAGTGCAAAATTTCGTTTCCTTGAATTTTTGATATGACCAAATCGCAAGTGAAGATTTGAAATACCAACATTCGGACGAACATTCGGGCGAACATTCGGGAGCAACTGTTACTTTACACGACTGCATCCTTGGCATCACTCAGTCACTAATTTTTCAAAGCTGGCAGGAGGAGATTATCGCTAATATTTATAAGCGTTTACACGTATACGTAAGCTTTTAGTTTCGAGATCAATAATTCTGTCTCACAGTCACTTCTTTGGCTACTTTTTAGTCGTCAGACTAGCAAATTTGATGCGCTAACAAATTACAATTTGCTGATTCGTCAAATGCGTTTAAATTATAGATTTTCTTTATAAAAAATCTACCTTTTTATTGCAGAATAGAAGAATCGATCAGTAATAATCTCTAAACTGGACACAACCACGAATCGATTGTAATCTTTGATCGACGATTCCCGATCCAATTTTAAGCTTACGAATCTGACACTAACTCTAAACTTATACTTTACACATATTGAGTTTTCAAATTCGATGGCAGTCGAGCGCAGATCAGGCCAGTCGATATTCCAGTTGACTGATGCTTTCGCGCAAACAACTTGAAGTTTTGGCGCGATTGGGAAGATTAGAGTATCCTATTATCTTATGAATATAAATTACATATCATTAAGTGAAAGACGGATTTTTTTCAGTAAAGTGCGCTTTCATCGGTGATGATTTCAAGTTCGATAACAACATTACGCGATCGCCGACTTGACCTGCGCTTTTATTTGAACATTCATCGTGTTTTCATAAAACTCGTGTCGAGATGAGTGCTCGCATCGAATCGGCCAGTTCAATATGAACTCACGATCCGGGAGTATTATTTCACGACTTTAGCTTAAATACGCAGATTTCACATATAGCGGAAAGATTAATCTGATGCATCTATTAATAAGAGAACGGTAACAGAGTAATACTTTGGTAATAAAAAGATACAAAAAAAAAACGAATCAATGTAATAAAAATTTCTAAAATTTTTTGTAATTATTAATCATTAGTAAGAATTAATTCTAGCATTAAAAAAGAATAAATACGTAAAAATAACAATGTGATAAAAGAATTTTCTATAAATTTAATATCTAAGTTATAAATACGTACTCATTATTATCTATCTATTTGATCTATCGGCACATTATTAAATAAAAAATGAAGACTTCTACATTTCTTACCCAACCAGTGATTACATTATTCTTTTATAATAAATTTACTTTCTGGGCAATAAAATTTCTCTTGAAACATACTTCCGAATTGCGCATTGATACATGGCATTTACTCTGGCTTACGTCACGCGTCATATCTGGTTTCGATTCCTTGCTTTTTTACATACTTTTTTATACGGTTGAGCGTACAACGCATAATGCAAATGGCAATAGCAAGTAACGAACAAACTTTAACGGGCAAAAAAAGTTAACACACAACCTCACGTAATTTAATAGCAACTTAATTAGGAAACATATACGATCTGTAACGAAGAACACATATAAAGTTAACGACGTTCAACTTTAATAATCAAATAAATAAGACTAAATATATAAAAAGTCGATTTTTCTCAAACGCTTTGATTTGACTATGAGAGAATATTTGCAAGACATCACATCAACGGAAATTGGATTGCGCGAACGCTTTCCTTTATCACTAACGGTGCGCGGATGACTCAACTAAAGTGTACCATCAATCATCCTTAGAAGATATGCGGCGCCAGCTGTAGTTTCCAGAGAGAGACCGGTCTGGCGAACACCGTGACTTGACCCTTTTCTTTGCCGCCGACCAAAAAAACGTACAAGGGCGCCGGCCCGTAGGAAGGCGTTGTTTTAACATCGGTCGCATCGCCCACCGCTGCCACCTTCGCTCTCTGCCTCTCAGCTCGCGACGCACTCACCGCTCTTCTCGATGGCGAACCTAGAGGCAGGCTCTTCGGTGGCGTTCGGGGTGTCCTCTTGATCTCCTGAAGCTCCAAGAGTTCCGCGAACGTTTGCGAAGCCGATCTTCCAGGCTCATCCTCCAGCACGCTGTCGGGCGGGCTGTTGAGTAATTTGGCATACTTTCCATCTGGTTGTTGTTGTTGATGATGATGATGTTGATGATGAGGATGATGTTGATGATGAGGATGATGAGAAGGAAAAGCAGAAGAATGATGATGCTGCTGCTGATGATGCTGCTGCTGATGATGATGATGCTGCTGATGATGCTGCTGCTGCTGCTGATGATGCTGCTGCTGCTGCTGCTGCTGCTGCTGCTGATGATGATGATGATGGTGATGGTGATGATGGCCACTCGTTTCATCCAGACCGAGATAATTCGGATTGCAGAAACCGAATTGACCCTCTCGTATCGTCGACGAGGCGACGATCGGTCTGTGCGACTTGGACCTCTTTCCGGATACCCAGTCGTCGTCCGCGAGCGGATCGCCCGGACTTCTCGCCTCGATACTCGCGTAATCCGACGTCGATTCCTCCCCTTCCTCGAGATCGGCGAATCTGACGGAGGCAGATGTGGGAATCTTCGTCGTGGTCGGTGTTTTGGGTGTTTGTAGAGCGGCTTCGTACAGATGTGAACTGTAGCTCTCGCCGCGGGTGGGTTGACAAGCTTGATGCACTGCTGCGAAATCTCTGCAATGAACATACCAAATATCGTGATATCAATCTCAATTAATTCTTGACAAATGCGTTTAATGTCGTTTGCGTATAACGATTTAACCGAAGTAATTACCGCCTTTCTTCTTGAACTTCGATCAACCTCGACGTGGGCGGTTCCTTGCGCTCTTCGTCGCTATTCTCATCCGGGTCTACGAAGACCAATCTGGCGGCCTCTACAGGCGTGAGAACAGGAGTTGGTAGCGTCAAAGCACGAAAATTTGGCACCGAAATAGGATCTCTGGTCATACCAGAAATGGCGGTATTGTTAGTGTTGCTGACGTCAACCGTTCTTGGCGCTCCCTCCGACACTTTTTGCCTTCGGCGAGCCAGCGTGTTGGCACTGCGAGACTTTACCATACCCGTGGATGGTTCGACCACTTCGACGTCCACCTGCTGAAAAGGATAATACGTGTTTGCCTGCACGCAGGCCTAATTGACACACCGCAAAGTAAAACATGCTCATCTTTTGAAAATGCCTCTAGGCATTCGACGTACCTCTTGAGGACTCTCTTCGTTGTCGTCGTGTCCACTGAGAACCGTATAACTGCACTTCGTCGGATGACTGAGCCTCGATAGATTTATTTGCGACAATTTCGAAATTTCCTTGAGGAAGCTCGGTCTGGCGGAGGGTGTTTCACTCGGCGATATCCTAGTGCTGGAGAGCCTAGGTCTTTGATTCCTCGGTCTCGGCTTCGGATTGTCCACGTTTGTTCCGCGTATCAGCAGTTCAGATACCGCAAGAGCGACGCTTTCGGCTCTCGGTTGCGGCTTTGGTCCTGGTACTGACAACTTCTCCCAGGTCTCTGTGCCTGTCAAAAAAATACTTCATAAAAATCTCATAAACTATTTAAAATCTTCCGTAACCGCAGCCATGCGGTGATGCATACCGAAATGAAACCTCCAAAGCTCGTTCGTTGCCGAACCGCCGCTCTCACCGCCAAAGATCAGCATGCAGCTCGGCAGTCTGCACGCCGCGTGACCGTGAAGAGGCCCGGGGCCCGGTTTATTCTTCAGCATGGACCACGACGCGCTGTTGACGTCCCATCGCCAGCAATCGTTTCTCTCTTG